TCTTAGGGCAGTAGATGCATCCTGGAGGTTACTATAGATAAGGCCAGATAAGATAACTGTCAGCCTGATGTTCTGTGGCTATAGATCAGGCATCCACTGAGGTCAGGAAGCCCTGGGAGACTGTCACCAAGGTCTGTCCCAAGCAGTTCCTAACATGGGAACCACAGCCAGGGTCTGTAAGAGGGCTCTTGGCTTCCCACAGAGGCCTGAGTTTGAGCTCCTGCACCACACGGTCCCCTGAGCACTGCCAGGAATGATGCAAGAGCACTGAGCCAGGAGTAATCCCTGAGCAACCCCAGGTGTGGCCTCCAAACAAAAAAGAAATTAAAATGAACCAAAGTATTACACAGATGCAATGAAATACCTGTCCCAGTGGCATTCTTCAGAGTAAGCGCATATTACTGAAATGTGCGTGGAACGACAAACACAATCCTGACATAAAAGAAGACTGGAGACATCACGGTACCTGGCTGTCAAGTGAATTATAAAGCCATGGCTATAAAACACAGCATCGTATCAGAACAAAAGCGAGAGCACAGCCCAATGTAGTAGAATCGAGAGCCCCAAAGGAAGCATTTACATATATGGACAGTTAAGACATATCGAGTGAGGGATCAATATATCAGGAGCACTTAGCACGTATTAGTCTCTAATGCACCAGATGAAGAGGCATCAAGGTCTAAAAGGCAACTACTAATAGAACTGAGAGAAATATTGACAACAGGAAGAGAAACATTGACAGAATAATAGTAGTAGGAAACTTGAACACCACCGGCAGATCAACTACACAGAGTCACTAAGGGAAAAACAGTCTGATATGAGGAGTTAGAAGAACTGGGCTTAATGGCTACTTAGAATGCTCTTCACACCCAAATAACTGAATGCGCGTCTTCTCCAGCACACATGGAGCATTGTCCAGGATAGACCACAAGCTGGAGTCCAAAACACGTATCATCAAAGTCATGGAGACTGAAATCACATCAAGGGCTGGAGAGATAGCACAGCAGGTAGGGCTTTTGCCTTGCACGCAGCCGACCCGGGTTTGATTCCCAGCATTCCATATGGTCCCCTGAGCACCACCAGGAGTAACTCCTGAGTGCAGAGCGAGGAGTAACCCCTGTGCATCGCCAGCTGTGTCCCAAACAGCAAAAAAAAGAAGAAACTGAAATCACATCAAGTTTCTTCCCAGATCACAATGCCCAGAAGGTGGAACTCAAACACTCGGAGAGTAAGCGTTCTATTACTCAACAGATTTCAATCACTGGAGAAATAAAATATCAGGTGATCTTACTGACAAGTGGTATATGAAGAAATATAGCAAGGAAAAAGACAATGAAAAAAAAATATAATAAAATGAACCTTTAGACTCTGGTGACAGAATTTGGTTACCGGTGGGTGTGGTTGGAGAGAAAGGGTCCAAAAGCCAGGGGTGGAGGGACACTGCACCTTGGTGGTGAATGTGATGTACAAGATTATACCACTAAAGTAGAAACACATACTGTTGTAAACTTCCAAAGAAAATGAATTGTTCAAAATAAAACATGCATTCACTAATAAAATATTTTCATTTTAGGAGGTTATGGAATGCTGTGTAACACTTAAATATATGTATTTCAATTGCATGTATTCTGGTTTTTTTTGTTTTTGTTTTTGTTGTTCATGTTGATATTGGGTTTAGGTCCACACCCAGCAGTGCTCAGGGATTACTCCTTCCTGATGGTGCTCAAGGGACCCAAAGGGATGCCAGTATGCAAGCCAGGCAGCCTCCCCACCAGGCTATCACTCCAGCCCTGCAAATAAATTCTTATATATGCATGTTTTGTACAAACCTTGAGATGATTTTTTTTAATTCTATGACATCTTGTTGCAATAAAATGTATTTTAAACAAGGAAGAATTCACACATATAGTAACACTCAGAAAGTACTACAACTAAACGCTGTACAAGTCCTATAGCTGGGCAGTAAACTGTGTGAGACCCACGGTGACACCCGTTCCCAAAACACAGAAAGCCGAATGTTTTTGTGCACCACAACTAAAAGAGTGTAATTCCAGTGAACATGTGTGCCAGCATCGCAATTAAAAGTATTCCCCTTGGGGGCTGGAGCAATAGCACAGCGGGTCGGGCATTTGCCTTGCACGCAGCCGACCTAGGTTCAATTCCCAGAATCCCATATGGTTCCCCGAGCACCGCCAAGAGTAATTCCTGAGTGCATGAACCAGGTGTAACTCCTGTGCATCGCCGGGTGTCACCCAAAAAGCAAAAAAAAAAAAAAAAAAGTGTTCCCCTACTGGGATCCGTGGTGGTGGGAAATGGGCACTGGAGGAGGGATGGGTATTTGATCATTATATAATTGAAACCCAAGCACAAAAATGTGTAAGTCTGCAACTGTACCTCATGATGTCTCACTATTAGGTAAAAGGTAAAGGCCCTCCCGTTGATCATTGATTTGCTCGAGCAGGCCCAGTAACGTCTCCATTGGAGACTTTGTTGTTACTGTGTTTGGCATATCGAATACGTCACGGGGAGCTTGCCAGGCTCTGCCGTGCGGGCGAGATACTCTCGGTAGCTTGCAGGGCTCTCCGAGAGGGGCGGAGGAATCGAACTCAGGTCGGCCATGTTGGCTGCGTGCAAGGCAAACGCCCTACCGCTGTGCTATTGCACACAGCCAACATGGCCAACCCGAGTTCGATTCCTCCGCCCCTCTCGGAGAGCCCGGCAAGCTACCAAGAGTATCTCGCCCGCAAGGCAGAGCCTGGCAAGCTCCCCGTGACGTATTCGATATGCCAGACACAGTAACAACAAAGTCTCCAAAGAAGACGTAACTGGGCCCGCTCGAGTCTCACTATTAAAAATTTTTTTTAAAAAGTGTTCCTCTGATCCCAAGCACCACAACCAAATACACAAGCACCCCAACCAATTGTGTGTATGACTCCTGGCTATCACAGCAACACACAACAAAGAGAAGGGAAGTGGGGGGACTAATTTTAAAAAGAATTCTAGGACCCCAGAGATAGCTCAATGGGCCAGTGCATATTTTGCACGCGGGAGGCCCAGATTCAATCACCAGCACCTCATGGTCGCCTCATGGAGCACAGCAGGAGCAAACCCTGAGCACCAAGCCCAGAGTAGCCCCTGAATACGTCTTGGTATCATCAAAAGAACAGGGGGAAAAATTACAAGAAATAATTCTAGACGTGGGCTAGACCAATAGTCCAGAGGGGAGGGCGTTTGCCTTGCACACAGCCAGCCCCGGATTGGATCCCCAGCATCCCATATGGTCCCTTGAGCACCGCCAGGAGTAATTTCTAAGTGCAGAGCCAGGAGTAAGCCCTGAGCAATCCTGGGTGTGAGCCAGAAAGCCAAAAAATAAAAAAGAATCCTAGATACCAGAACAATAGTACTGTGGGTACAACATTTGCCTTACATGCAGCCAACCCAGGTTCGATCCTCAGTGATCCCTTTAGAAGAGATCCCCCAAGAGTTGGCCTGGAGCACAGAGCCAGGAGTAACCCCTGAGTATCACCAAGTGTGACCCAACAAAAGCCCCCCTCCCCTCCAAAAAATATGTAGACAAGGAGCAGAGAGTTAATACAGCAATTAAGACTTGCCTTGCAAGCCGCTGACCCAATTGGATCTCTAGCATCCCCTAGGTTATGCCCCCTTTCTCCACCAGGACTGATCCCTGAGCCCTTCTGGGTAGGCCAATAAACAAACAAAAGGATAGGCCAACTAAATGAGTGTACAAAAAGATGTTCAACATCATATGTCACTGGGGAATTTCAGATTAAAGCTGCAATGAGATACCCTGACATGCCTCTCAGAATGGCCAAAATTTAACACCAAGTGTTAGCAAGAATGTGAAGCAACAGAAGCTCTCATTATGAGTGATAATGGAGCAGTCTCCTTGAAAGACAGTTTGTTTACAACATCATTAAACACGCTCTAACCACATAGCCCAATCATTCTCCTAGTTAGTGTCTATCCAAGAGAGTTGAAAACATCTGCTCATGAAAAGACCTGCATTCAGATGCTGCAGCAGCGTTATTTAGGACTGCCAGATGTGGAAGCAACTAAGATACTCTTTCATTAATCACAAAATTATAAACGCCAAATAATAGATTCTGATTCAGCACTAAAAAGAAATGGGCTATCAAGCCATAAAAAGACAGAGAGGAACCTTAATTGCATTTTTCCTCTACACTCTGTGTATTCCCAATTATCTGACATTCTAGAGAAGACAAAACTATGAAGAGAGCAAAAAGAAGACCAATTGTCACCAGGGTTTAAGGAGGAAGGAAGCACGAATAGGTGGAGAACAGAGACAAGTCAATACATAATCCCCTTGGGGCTGGAGCGATAGCACAGCGGGTAGAGCATTTGCCTTGCACGCGGCCCAGCATCCCATATGGCCCCCTAGCACCGCCAGGAGTGATTCCTGAGTGCAGAGCGAGGAGTAACCCCTTTGCATTGCCAGTATGACCCAAAAAGCTAAAAAAAAAAAAACATAATGAGTTTGGTTTCCCCTCAAAGACAAGTCAATAAATAACCACCTTCACTGCTAACTGAATATATTAATTTGTTGGTTTAGTTTTGTTTGAGGTTTGTTTGGGGTGTTTTTTGGGGGGAGGGCTGGTGAGGGGAGCATCTGGTGATACTCAGAGGTTACTCCTGGCTCTGCACTTATTCCTTGAGGTGCTCCAAGGACATATGAGATGCTGGGGATCGAACCTGAGTCAGCCGCATGCAAGGCAAACGCCCTCCCACTGCACTCTCCATGCTTGATTGAGTGCATTTATATCGCCTCTCCTGTTCCTTGGCCCCTCTTTTTTTTGAAGATTGATATGGGACAGTGAGATGTTTAATCATTTAAAGCGTTTAGTCATTTCCTTAGGCTGAAATAGAGGAGAGGTGTGTTATTGACACATTTGTTCTAATTGGTATGAATACTAAATTTCACAAGTGGAAAATAAAATTTAGATTATATTTCACATATATAGGTGAAATACAATAACAATGAAGATGACAGCTCAATATTCACACTGAAGACTCAAGAATATGATGTAAAAAGTGGTGGTAAAGTTTTGCAAAGTGAAAAAAGACTGAATATCAACACGAATCAAGCAGATGATACTGAAGCAATGGTAAGTGAGTCACACCTGGATTTTCAGGTAGCTGACTAAGCCAAATGATTACTGCTTGAGACAAAATAGCCAAAAGCAAAAACAAACCATTCACATTCTGAGGCAGTCCTTCGTCACCAGACCTCAGCTTCATCCCAAAATATTTGAAAGGCAACTAAAATATTAAAGGAACCGCGATATAAAACAATCCAAATAAACACACCTCTTTAATTAGCGGTCGGTTGCTTGCATAAGGATGTTTAGAAACACATTTGCTTATTCAGCAAATAATTTTCAGGGGAGCGAAACAAGAGAGAACATTCGAAAATGAACTTCGGGTAACAGAGAGAGCACGTCAGCAAGACGCTTTCCCTCTCGTACAGAGATATGCCTTTATTCGGGTTTCTACATTAATAATGAGTGCCAAGCCCCCTACGTGACTGATCCCTTAATCATTAAGGCCAGTCCCTGTCACTTGCTGCCTTTTTTTGTTGTTTAGCTCAAAATTGATTTTATTTGATAACATATGACTGTCTTTGCCTCTGGGGTTTCCTGTCTGATTGTTCCCAGCTTTTCCCTTCGTGTTTGTATTTATCTGGGGAACTCAAGTGGGTCTCATAAATAAAAGAAGGTTGAGTTTGGTTTCCAGACTCTTCCTTTTTTTTTTTCCTTTTTGAGTCACACCCAGCAATGCACAAGGGTTAGTTACTCCTGGCTCTGCACTCAGGAATTACTCCTGGCGGTACTCAGGGGACCATATGCGATGCTGGGAATCAAACCCAGGTCGACTGCATGCAAGGCAAACGCCCTACCCACTGTGCTGTCGCTCCAGCCCCTTCCTCCCACTCTGTACCTCTCCCTCCGTGGGGTCACAGACCCCCTGCTCTGATGCTCCCGCCTTTACGTCTCCTTGGACTTTGCCAGCAGGTGCGGTGCTTGCATGCCCAGCCTCGGTGCTCACCAAGGGTTACCCCTCTTGGGTTGTGGTGCTCACGCAGAACTTTTTGTTTGTTCTGGGGGCACACCCAGCAGTGCTCAGGGGTTACTCCCAGCTCCGCACTCAGGACTCTCTCCTGGCGGTGCTCGGGGCACCATATGGGATGCCAAAGATCGCACCTGGGTTGGCCACATGCAAGCCAAGAGTCCTCCCCGTTCCAGCTTATCCTGCACAGTTGGGTTTTAGTGTTCCCCGGAGGTTGCCGAGGTCCTCACCCCTCCATCTCTCAGTGTCGCTCGCTTAAGTTCCCCCCCCCCCACTACCCTCGCGGAGTGCCAAGCCTCGTGGGACAGAGCCGGCAGGGCTGCCCCCAATCCCAGCAGCCGCAGCAGGAACTGGCCCTTTGCCCTCGGCTTGCAAAGCTCACTTGGCTGTGCTGTACCCATCCCGGGTCCGTACAGGCTCCTGATCACTCACATTTACTGGAGTCCCTGATGGAACATGTAGCACAGCGGGTAGGGCGCTGACTTTGCACACAGCCAATCCGGGTTCAATCCTAGGCATCCCATATCCTCCAGGAGCACCGCCAGGCGTGATTCCCTAGTGCAGAGCCAGGAGGAACCCCTGAGCATCACCGGGTGTGCCCCACCCCCCCCCCAAAAAAAAATAATTGGTATACGACCATGCGGCCTGCAGGAAGAGGCAGTGCCCAGGGGTCTTGGCGGGAGCACAGCCCCTCCATTCCCCCCACCCCATGACCTGTCAGTCTCTCCTTCCTGCTATGGTTCTGGCTCCATCACAGCGCAGCTCTGGTCCGATGCGGCTCTCCTCTTCCCCTCTGCTTTGCTGTGGGCCTCAGGTGCCCGCTGGGTTCCATTCGCCTCTTGCTTGTTTCCTATAAGTGGATTTGTCTTGAGGTGACCTCCCGTGACGTTTAAATCTCCGGACTCAACCTTATGGGCTCTTTTAAATGGGAAACAGGGGGCTGGAGCGATAGCACAGTGGGGAGGGCGTTAGCCTTGCACGTGGCCCACCCGGGTTCGATTCCCAGCATCCCATATGGTCCCCTGAGCACTGTCAGGAGTAATTCCTGAGTGCAGAGCCAAGAGTAACCCCTGTGCATCGCCGGGTGTGACCCAAAGAGCAAAAGAAATAAATAAATGGGAAACAGGTAACGCTCCAGAGCCAGGCACTGGCTGGGAGAGCCCCAGCTGCGAACCAGTGCCTGGCGTTGGCGGCTGTGCCTGGTGCGGCCGTGCCCAGTTCCCGCAGGCCTGGGCAGCGCCCAGGAGTCTGTGGTCACACGGTCTGGCCTCAGCTGTGGCTCTAGGGCAGGCGTGGGCAGCAGCCGGAGAAGTCCCAGTCACAAGGGCCTGGCAGCCGCTAAGGTCCCGCGGGCGCTGGCGACGCCGAAGGAGGGCAAGTCAGCCAGGGGCTGGGACCTCGGCCCCACCCAACCGAGGATGCGCGCTCTCCGGACCACCCAGGAACACAGCAGGCCAGCGCCCCCTCGCCCACAGGCGACGCTGAGCTGCTGACCCGCCAGAAGTCAGCGCTCCCGCTCCTTGGCCAGCTCAACCAAGCATTGGCTCGTGGCTCGGAGGGTCAGTCCCAGTGAGCGGTCAGCGAGGCTGCAAGTGGTCACCACCATCAGGTGACCACTCTCACCCTGGGCCTTCTGATTCTCCTTCCCCAGGACTGTAGGTACCCAGGTCATGGGGCAGAAGTTTCACGCCCTGCAGGGGGCTTCCTTCCTGGTTAAGACGAATCTTTGGTTACAGTGTTTCCACCCCCACCACCACCACCACCACCAGGAGTGTAAACTGTATCATTTGCATTAAACTGAATTAGACTGTAACCATTAAACTGATTAAACTGAATTTTGGTGGAGGTTTACTGTTATGGCAGATAAACACCATTTTTTTCCCTATTCAAGCATCTTGGTCCTGCCACCATATAAAGACAATTCATTTGAGTAAAACGAGCCTCTACATTATTATTTATAAGAGGAAACAAATTAAGGTCACACGGGTTTATATAATGTGCAAGGAAAAATTAGTAAAATAAATCATTATCATCTAGCATTGCAGTTTTACTTTATGACAGTTATACCAGAAGAATGTGAATAATACAAGCCACACCATTTAGGTTCATTTAATATTTATTAACCAGGGTTCTTTGGAGGCCTGTTAGTGTACAAGGTATTGTGCTGGTCATCTTCAGGAATAGAAGTATAAAATAAGATACTTGATACAGTTTTAATCAACTGTTGGAGACAGATTTGCATAAAATTAGGTGCAATTTAAAGTATTACCATAGTAGGTAGATGAGTAAAGTCTAATACCAATTAAGCAGTTGCTCTCAGTGTCTGCAGTCATACAGATACTTTGAAATTGTAGTCGGGAACTTCTACAACCACTTGGCAGTGCTCAGGGGCTATTCCTGGCTCTGTCCTGGGGGACCATATCCGGTGCCCGGAACTGAACCCCAGCAGCAGGCTCTGTGACTAGGCACAAGGCAAGCGCCTTTCCCCTGTACCAGCTCTGCAGCCCTTGTTCTGTTGTATCCGAAAGCGGGAAGTGGCTCTCAGAGACCATGGCTTTAGAATCCTGCGAAAATTAAGTTATTTTATTAAAAATAAAATATCGCTGGAGTGATAGCACAGTGGGTAGGGCATTTGCCTTGCACATGGTCAACCCGGGTTCAATCCCCAGCATCCCATAGGGTCCCCCAAGCACCGCCAGGAGTAATTCCTGAGTGCAGAGCCAGGAGGAACCCCTGTGCATTGCCGGTGTGACCCAAAAAGAAAAAAAAAATTTTGATCAGGACCAGAACGATAATACAGCAAGTAAGGCATTTGCTTGCATGTGACCGACTGTGGTTGGGTGAGTCTTCCAGGAGTGATCTCTGAGCACTGCCAGGTATGATTTAAAAAAAAAAAATGGCGTCTTATTAGATGATGTTTTGTCAGGACTTAATATTTTTCCACATTTGATTTGGATCATTGGTCTTAAAAACAAGAAACCTCTAGGCCCGAGAGAGCTCGGTGGTGAAGGCTCAGACAGGGCGGGTGGTCAGGCCCTAGCCCCCTCCCAGGCAGGGCACCCCCAGTAGGTGCCCTCCTCAAAACCGGGATGGTGCCTCTAGGGAGAAGGGGTTGGGTCACAGGGCTGGCACGGCAAGTAGGGCAGGCACCCTGCCCGCAGCCATTCCTGCTGCTTCCGGTCCTGACCCCTGTGCTCCTCCAGGAGGATCCTTGAGCACAGAGCGAGGAGTAAGCCCTGAATGCAGCTGGGTGTGACTCAGAACCCAAAAAATAAATAAAAACAATTCATAAATATTTTTTGTTTGTTTGGCTTTCTGGGTCACACCCGGCGATGCTCAGGGGTTACTCCTGACTCTGCACTCAGGAATTACTCCTGGCAGTGCTGGGGGACCCTATGGGACGCGGGGGATCCAACGCAAGGCAAACGCCCTACCCGCTGTACTATCGCTCCAGCCCCAATTAATAAATATTTTTTAACATGTTACGCTTTCGAGGGGCTGGAGTAATAGCACAGCGAGTAGGGCATTTGCCTTGCACGCGGATGACCCAGGTTCGATTCCCAGCATCCCATATGGTCCCCCGAGCACTGCCAGGAATGATTCTTGAGAGCATGAACCAGGAGTAACCCCTGTGCATCACCGGGTGTGACCCAAAAAAGCAAAAAAAAAAAAAAAAGAAAGAAAGAAAGAAGAAGCTTTCAAAACATTTAAAAATGAATTTATGAATATAATTCGAGTCCTTGTCCATGCTGTCCAGCCCATCGGTTCCCTCACACAAGAACTATTACAACGGATCAGATATGAGTTACTTGAAAGCATGCTTTGATTGGACTATTCAACACATTTGATATACAGTGCGCCTGTACATATATCTACATAATGTTAACTTATATCTTTTATGTCCTGAGCTCAGGGCTTACTCCGGGCTCTGCACTGCATTCAGGGATCATTCCTGGCGGGGCTGGGAACCCTATGGGGTGCAAAGGATGGAACCTGGGTCAATACTGCACGCAGGGCAAGCAGCCCCCTTCTCTCTCCAGCCCCAGTTCACGTCTTTTACATTTATCACATTATAAGTGTATATATTCTGGGTTTTCATCTACCCCTGGCAGTGCTGAGCCTCTTCTCCGAGCTCAGTCGGGTCACTCCCTGTGGAGTTTGGGGAACCACGTACTGCCAGAGATCCAACCGAGGGCTCCCTCTTGCAACGCGTGCACTCCTAGCCCTGTGAGCTCTCTCCCCAGCCCCAGCTCTGATGTATTGGCTGCACTTCTAATGACATCATGTGTTTAACATTTATCCTTTCCGTGTTTTTGTTAATTATTGTATTGAGGTATCGTGGTTTACCATAGTATTACTATTGTCTTATACTCGCTGAGCTACTATCCAAGCCCCACTCCAGAATCTCAGCACCCCTGCATCTCCAACCCAGGGTCCATCCCAATCTACCCCAGCCCACCCCCAGTTCGTTAGACTGTTGGGGAGTCTTAGGGTTTGCTTCCATTGGGAATGGTTTACTCCCTTGCATGTCTTCGTTTGTGTATTTTTTTTGAGGGGCACCACATTTGGTCACGCGCAGGGCTTACTCCTCACTCTGCTCAGGGATCACTCTTGGTGGGTTTAAGGGACCCGGTATAAGCTGACCCGGGTTCAATCCCTGACACCCCAGCTTGCCCCTGGTCTATCACTCCAGCCCCGGCATTGCTTTTTTATGCCACACATGAAAACAAAAATCAATGTGTAGTGTCTTTTTTCTTTGTGATTCAATGTATTTAATGGAAACTCCCCAGTTCCATCTAAGTTGCAGCAAACTAAGATTGTATATTTTCTCTTAGCTGAGTAGTACTCCATTGTGTATATATAACAGAATTTTCTTATCCACTCATCTGTGCTTGGGTACGTGGGTTATTTCCAGACCTTGGGTATTTTAAAGAGTACTATAGTAGACATAGGTATGCATATATCCTTAAAAATCAATATTTTTTTCTCTTTCTTGGCGTAGATGCCCAGAAGTGGAATTGCTAGATCATGCAGAAGTTCTATTCTTAATTTTTTGAGAAATATAAACCTGTTTTCCAAAAAGTCCGAAGCAGATAATAGTCTCACCAACAGTGAGTAAGAGCTTCTTTTTCAACACATCCTTACTAGCACTGATTGTTTCTAGGCTTTATTCTGTAAACCATTGTAGCTGGAGTGAGCTGATATCTCAATGTCATTTTTATTTGCTTTCCTTGGATGATCATTGACAATGAAAACCCTTTCATGTACTTGGTGGTCATCTTGATCTCTTCCTTGTGGAAGTGTGTGTTCAGCTCCAATGCCTGTTTTTGGATGGGCTTGTTTGTTTTATTGTCAATGTGTGTGTGTGTGTGTGTGTGTGTATGTGTGTGTGTGTTTAACTTGGCTATTAAACCTTTTGTAGGTATATGATGTGAGGATATTTTCTCCCATTTAGTAGAGTCCTTTTTTGCCAGAGTGGGGTTACTGGGGGGCTCATTCATTTTTGTAGTGAAGAAGCTTAACGGTGATGTGGTAGCATTATTTATTTCTGATGTTTCCTTTGTCTGTGGAGTGTCTCATGAAGACTCCTCTGGGGTCACTGTCATGGAGATTTCTTCCTGTGTTTTCCTCGGCATATCTCACAAATACAAGTTTGGGGGCATTTGGGGGCATTTGGGGGCATTTGGATATAATCTATTTTGTCTTTGGGGGGTGTACTTTGGTTGGGTGGTTTGGTTTGTTGGTGGGGGGAGCCACACCTGGCAGTGCTCAGGACTCTCTGCTCTGTGCTCAGGGATCACTCCTACTGGGGCTTGGAGAATCATATGTGGTGTCAGGAATCAAACCCAGGTGGGCTGCCTGCAAGGCAAGCGCCCTACCCATTGTTCTAACTCTCCAGCCCTTCGATCCATTTTGAATTAACTGTGTGTATGATGTGAGATGGGCTGGAGCGATAGCACAGTGGTAGGGCGTTTGCCTTGTGCACAGCCGGCCCGGCCGACCCAGGTTCGATTCCTCCGCCCCTCTCGGAGAGCCCAGCAAGCTACCGAGAGTATCTCGCCCGCACAACAAAGTCTGGCAAGCTACCAATGATGTAGTCAATATACCAAAGACAGTAACAACAAATTTCACGATGGAGACGTTACTGGGCCCGCTCGAGCAAATCGACGAACAACAGGAGGACTGAGACCATGATGATGTGAGACAGGGAACTAGCTACCCCCACACATCCTGATTCACACCCTTTCATTAGGCTAAGCAGTAATTCCAATAAAATCTGTTAAGGAGGCCCTCCTTGCTCCACTTCATGCCAGCCTTCTTGTTGTAAATTAACTAGCCCGCCTCCTGAGACCTCAATTCCTCTCCACTAGTCTAAGAGTCTGTCTTTATTCCAGTACCACATAGTTGCGACTTCTACTAGGCCTCTGATTGACCAGCTTGATAACAAAACTTTGTAGTATGATTTAAAGTCAGGGATTGTGTCTTCTTTGTTCTCGAATTGCTCTGGCCATTCTAAACATTGTTTTATTATTCCATATGAATTTATTTATTTATTTATTTATCCTTTGCTTTTTGGGTCACACCCGGCAATGCTCAGGGGTTATTCCTGGTTCATGCACTCAGGAACTACTCCTGGCTGTGCTCAGGGGACCATATGGGATGCTGGGGATCGAACCCGGGTCGGGCTGCGTGCAAGGCAAAAGCCCTATCCGCTGTGCTATCACTCCAGCCCCTCCATATGAATTTTAGGAGCATTTTGCTCTAAAATGCTTGACGATTTCCAAGAGAATGTTGATGGGCATTGAATTTAATTTATGAATTACTTTGGGTAGGACGGTCATTTTAACTCTATTGACTCTTCCCATGCATAAACTAGAAATGTTTCCATTTCTTCATGTCTTATTTTTTTCCATAGTGATTTATCATTTTCATGAACTATCTTTCACCTTTACTGATTCCTAGATTCTTGCATTTTTTTTAACACAATCATAAGTGGGATTGTTTTAATTTTCTTTCTCTTCTACATTGTTTATATGTAAAAACACAATAGATGGGGGTCAGAGATACAGTATAGTAGGCATGGTTCTTGCCTTCCAAGCAAACAAACTCTGGTTGCATCCCCCTTTCATTTATGATCTGATCTTATCAGAACTTTTATCTTTTTAAAAAATTCCTCCACTTCCTAAGAAATTTTGCCATGAAAAAGGATTGAAATTTATGAGATTTTTTTTTTCTACATTTTCCCTAACCCTGAACCTTAAATTACTATGTATTTTATTGAATCCAGGGTTTTGTTTAGTTTGGTTTAGTTTTGGTTTGGGCTTTTTGAGTCACACCCAGAAATGCTCGGGGGTTATCCCTGGCTCTACACTCAGGAATTACGCTGTGCTTGGGGGACCATATAGGATGTTGAGGATGGAACCCAGGTCGGCTGTATGCAAGGCAAATGCCCTCCCTGCTGTACTATCGCTCTGGCTTTCTTGAGCTCGGTCTTATCACTATCACCTCAAAAGAATGCATCTAGAAGGTCAGAAGCTATGTACTTACCATAGATTGTTTTGCATTCGTCTTTCTTTTCTCATCTAAAATATCAGTTTTCCCACTGCCTAGCACCTGATAACCAGGAATACATTTTAATTTCAATTTTGTATTAACAAAACTCATTCTAGTTGCCATTTCAACACTAGTTAGAAAAACAATAGCCTTACCAACATGCCTTGAATTCTCAATGGCTTAACTCAGTAGATGTCTTTGGCTATATGACAGTCTAAGGCCTTTATGAAGCAGTCTTAGTGAGCCAGCTCCACACGGTAATCCAAGAACTCAGTACTTTCCGTGTGTGACCCTGTTGCTGCCTAGGGCCTAGGAGCCTTTCAATTTCAAGTAACAACTGGTTTAAGAGAATGAAGAAGAAAATACTTTTTTTTTTTTTTGCTTTTTGGGTCACACTCGGCAATGTACAGGGGTTACTCTTGGCTCTGCACTCAGGAGTTACTCTGGCGGTGCCCAGGGGACCATATGGGATGCTGGGAATCGAACCCGGGTCGGCCGCATGCAAGGCGTTCTATTGCTCCAGCCCAAGAAGAAAATAAATTTGCCTAGTAGTTTCTGCCCAAATGTAACACGCATCACTTCTACTCACACTCTCATTGTCAGTTGGTAAGAATTCTTCTTTTATCTATTTTTTTGGGGGGGGAGGTTATTGGGCCGTGCCTTACCTCTGGCTTAGCACTCAGGGATCACTCCTGACAGAAGTCAGGGGACCACATGGGATGCGTGACATCGTACCCAGGTCTGCTGTGTGCAAGGCAAATGTTCTACCTTCAGTACTATCACTCCAGCCCCAGTAAGAATCACTCTCATGGCTTTGCATCCTCTGAGGAGAGGAGGGTATGGCATTTGTAGCACAGGTAAAACATGAGAAATGAGGTCTCTGGTTAAGGGACTGACCAGAAACAACTGTTACATACAGAAAAGGAACCGAAGTCTTCACTGGGGACCTGTAATGTCTTCACTAAAGGAAATGATAGAGGCAATTGTTTAGGCTAATGGAACGATCTCAGGTGAAACATCTGGGTTTTCTGCCAGAGGTAGAGCGCCAAGAAAGTGGTTATGACAGAGGTAACTCCATGAACATTGCTGCAGTGAACGTGATGTGGTTGCCGGTGGGTATATTTTGAAGGGAGGCGGAAGTGGAGTGCCGAGTGAGACCGAGTCAAGGAAAGCTTTGGTTCTCTTTGAGTCGGGAGGGAAACTCATCTGATGCCACTGGTCTCATTCCCTGAGCCAGAAGCCAGCACCACTGTTCCTGAAGGCACCAGGCCCGTGGCAGAGGCCAGGGGACCTTCCTGTCAGGGCCATTTCTCACAGCTGGCTCAGGTCACCGCACCTGGCCCCACCCCGGCTTCCTTCCAAGTTCAACTACACGGTTGAATTTTATTTGACATTTTATGAGAAGTAGTGGAGGCAGGGTTATGGGGTTACATTATCACAGAACCATCGAATCTATTTTATGTTTGTATGTCTTTTTTTACAGGGAAAGATGTAACACAAAAATTCCAGAAATTTATGGCCGAGAATCATTTTAAGAAATTATATTTCATCCCACTACTTTGTCTTTCAAACAAATCGCTCATATATTTACACTTATGTTCATGTTTTATGTACTTTCATGATTACATGAAGACACTTTCTTTTTGAGGAAGTTGAGTAGAAGCAGCTTAATAAAAGACAGAGTTTGACTCAAGTATTTTATAATTTTTCTCACATTATTTTCACACAGAAATTAAATGTTTAAAAGCCCACCATTAACACACCCAGTCATTTTTTTTTCACTAAATTTTCTCTCTATTCTCACAATCTCTTTGTTAATAAAATGCTCTCAATGTTCTTGAGAAACAAAAAGAAAGGAGACCAATAGGTTTTCTGTAAGAAAGTAGGATAATAAATTTTCTGTCAAGAGGACTGAAGAGACAGTACAGCAGGCAAGGTGCCTGCCTCGCACACGGTCAACCTGTGTTCAGTGCCTGGCACCCAGATGGTCCCTGAGCACCACCAGAAGTGACCCTGACCAAAGAGCCAGGAGTAACCCCTGGAGCATTGCTGGAAGCAAAAACAAAAAACAAAACAAAACAAAACAAAAAACCCTTTTGGTCAGAAATACCTTGCTGGGGTTCAATCCCAGCATCCCTTGCACTCTATTCAGCCTCCAGGTCCCCCAAGCACCACCAGGAGTCATCCCTTAGCACAGAACTAAGCACTGCTAGGAAGGAAAAAGGGAGGGAAGGAAGGAAGGAAGGAAAGATGGGAGGGGGGAGGGAGGGGGAGAGGGAGAGAAGGAAAGAAGGAAGGGAGGGAGGGAGGGAGGCAGGGAAGGAGGGAGTAAGGGAGGATAACTTTTAAAAATGTATTAAACGTAATTTATATACTCAGCCCCAAGAGGCAGACCCACCTTCAGTTGGGACATGTGTACCCATTCACCGTGTAGGACACTAAATCTACTACCTTACCCAAAGAATATCTCAGTAATATATAACGACAGGTTTGTGTAACGATATTGACACAAACACCTCAAAATTTTTGTTCTACCAGGATTAAAGAGTGCATTTGC